TAAGGCTCAGGTTTTCTTGTCCCAGTCACTTTTCCAGAGCACTTGACTCTCCATTTCTGTTTCAGAGAATGTAAAGCACTGAGCGAGCCCCACTGTGATTTTATGGGAAGTCTCGTACGTTTTAAACGTTCCGTAAAGCAGGGCATCCCAGACTTTCGTGTGATGGGACACTTGTGAAAATGCAGAGTCCGATTCAATAGGTTTGGGGTGGGGCCAGAGACTCTACATTTATTTTTGCATATATCTTCAGGCACTTTCTGTGAGTGCACATCTACACGCACACACGTATATACCCATGTGCGTATACATAGTATGTGTGTATCTATACATACAGCGTAAGGTCATGCATTATATGAACTGTTCCTTGATATTTTCAACAAGTGTTACAACAGAGGTATTTTTAAAGATGTTGAATTTTCTTGGAAAACAATTTCTAATGGCTATAAAAATTCTATCATTCTGTATGCCAACATTTACTTAACCATTACTCTGTTGTTGGAAATCTAGGGCATTTTCAATTTTCCCACCTAAATATCCTTGTATATGGATATTTGAGTGCATCTCTATTTCTTTAGAACAATTCCCAGGGGCGGACCTTTTTTTTAGGTTCTTGTTCCATATTATTAAATGATCTACACAAAATTCTACCCAAACCACCCCTAGCTGTAATACCTGAAAGTGCCCCTTTTTGCTATTCTCCTATTCATATTGCATGCTTAAAAATCTATGCCTATTTGGGACGCCTGGGTGGCTCAGTCGGTTAAGCGTCTGCCTTCAGCTCAGGTCATGATCCCAGGGTCCCGGGATCGAGTCCCACATCGGGCTCCCTGCTCAGCGGGAAGCCTGCTTCTCCCTCTACCTGCCGCTCCCCCTGCTTGTGTGCTCCCTATGACTGATAAATAAAATAAATAAATAAATAAATCTTTAAAAAAATCTATGCCAATTTGATAGCTAAATATGCTATCTTAGTTTAAATTGTATTACTTTGATTACTCTTGAGGTTAAACTGTTTTTTCATATATTTTCTATTTTAATTTCTTTTGGTAGCCACTGTTTCCTTTTTCTTTTTAATTGAGGAATAACTGATAGATGACATTATATTCAAGTGTACGATCTGATATTTTTATACATTGCAAAATGATTACCACAGTAAGTCTAGTTAATATCTGTCAACCGAGAGTCTACCTTTTTTTTTTTTTAAGATTTATTTATTATTTGGGAGAGGAAGAGCACGCAGGGATGAGGGGCAGAGGGAGAGGGAGAGAAAGAATCTCAAGCAGACTCCCTGCTGACCGCGGAGCCTGATGCAGGGCTTGATCCCGAGATCCCGACGTGAGCCAAAACCAAGAGTCAGAAGCACAACCGACGGAGCCAACAAGTTCCCAGGATCAAACTGAACAGCAAGGCCCCCTGGATGGTGGGGGCGTGGGGGCGGTGCTTACTTTTCTCACTGCAAATGTTTGTTTGTTCCACTCCTGCTGCCTCTCTTTCTGAGGCTGCTGTGTCCTCCCTCCACCTCACTTTGCATCTATGTCGACATCATGGGACTCTGTGTGTAAACAATTTTAGACCTGGAATCAATGGAAGAGAATGAAAGCACAATGTCAGCATAGAAACTCTTTAAAGACTAGGCTCATGACTCTTTAAAGTTCCCCTGCTCTGTCAGCTACCACACTTTCTCACTGGCATCCCTCATTTCTCTTCCCTCCGGGGATAACTCAGATTCCTGTTATTTGTATGTGTAGTGCCTTCCTCTTAGTTTCTACCCTGGAAGAACAGCATTTTCCTCTCTGTATTTACCATGGATAGAGAAAGGCTCTTATCATTGCACTTCCCAAAAGGCCCACAGTAAGTTCTCTCCAAAACAGAGGTACCATCTGGTCTGACATAAAATTCATGGCACTCCTGCGTGGAGGAAACTGTCCTGGTAATTTCCTTCTTTTTTTGGACAGTACTTTTATTTTTCTTCTTACCCATGTTAGTTTAGGTGCCCAGCACAGTGACTGGCACAGATTGGGCATTTAATAAATGGTGTTTTTGTTAACAAGGAGATAAAGCTCTGGTGCAAAAGGTTTCCACAGTCCAGAGAATAGATTCAGAATTGAGGGGTCCCTCATTTGATCTGGAACTTTCTGCAGTGACCTTAACCCTGTCTCAACCAGGATTCTCACATGGCACCCTGGGGAAACACCTTTGCTAAGTCTTTATCTTCCCCTTTACATTTCTTCTTTGTCAGCTTTTGTCTTCAGTCTTCTTCCTTCATATCTCTTCACTGCAACTCTTCACACAGATTCATTTTCTCGTCAGATGATCAGGAATTGTACTCTGTTTTAGACAGACAGACGGAACACACACAGAAAGATATTGAGACACTTATAGAGAGAAAGGAAAGGAGGGGTTTTCTGTGTTTTTTATCCCTGTTGAGCTAAGCCCCATGTAATTCTTATGCCCACAAACATCAGCATTTGAGAATCCTGACACAATATTTTCGTTGACAAATGATCATTATAATAAGCTCTTTCTAGTGGTTAAATCAAAAGTAAAGTTGTTTTGTTCTTGAAAATCTTTTCACGGTGAAAATGTGTTCAACTTAAGAAAAGGGGGGGTGTTGGTGGCTATGGAGTGTGATTTTTCTGGAGATTCTGGAAAGCACACAATGAGTTTGAATTTAGCTTCAAACAAAATAGGTAAAACCGAATTCACAGGCACAAAGAATTCTGAAACTGGAAATGATCTTTTGCATTAAAAGGAGGAAAAAGGATTATGTGGAGTTTGTAGGGTCTGTAGCTTTAAATCTGTAAGAAATGCGGTCATGTTACCACATGGTTTTCTTCAACAGGGGACAGAAAGGTAAGGTTATAAAAGGGAATGGGACGTGGACTTTCTAAATGATCTAGGGGCTAAAATGGCAAATAAGCCATGTATATGATTAGTTTAAATAGCCTAGGCAGAGGAAGAATTTTTATGACTGAGGAGGAGAAGAGCTGTAAGAAGCTTGAAGATGGGCATTAAAAGCCATAATACTTTGAAGCCATTCTGACCCAATGTTCTTTCTTTTTTTAATTTAATTTATTTATTTGACAGAGAGAGACACAGCGAGAGAGGGAACACAAGCAGGGGGAGTGGGAGAGGGAGAAGCAGGCTCCCTACTGAGCAGGGAACCCGATGCGGGGCTCGATCCCAGGACCCTGGGATCATGACCTGAGCCGAAGGCAGACACTTAACGACTGAGCCACCCAGGCACCCCTGACCTGATGTTCTTAACCTGTATTCAGAAAGATCTGACTAACATAAATAAGTGCTTCAGGGAAATTAGGAAGCAGTGTTTTAATATCATTTGGAGATAAGACTGAGGTTAAAATAAATTATATACTAATAGCTTGCGTTTAGTGAATGATAATCTCAGTTTATTTTTTGCATTTAATCCCTTATAAATATTCTTTAGACCTAGTATATGGTAATATCATTTAACTGGCTATTTTGATAAGGAGTCAGAGCTCTGATAAAGAAAATGAAAATAAACAGAAAAGCCTATAAAATTACTTAATGTTTCTATCAGTGAGTTTAGACTGGGATAAAACACTTCAATTTGGAAAGAGAAAGAACGGGAGGTGCATAATAGTTTTGGTCTGTAGCAACCTGGAAAAGGATTGATGTGGTTGACACTGTGGGGATCCCATAGCCAGGGCATGTGGGATGTTCTTTGATTAGACCTGGATTCTGTTTTTTGAGAGGGGTCCACCTCCTAAGTACTCATGCGGTCCCTGGCTCCACCTCCCGGGAGTTTTCTCCCCCCCACGCACCCCCCCGCCCCATAATCTCTGGCCGCATCTGAAGTAGTGTTGGCGAATATACCTTCCTTGGGACCTTACTTCCTGCTCCTAGATGGGCACAGGACTGAGAGCTGGTTTGTGACTAACTTAGAACTCTCAAAAACGTAGTGAACTTTTATCTAAGTTGGTTCTTTTCGTGGTGTAATTCCCAGAACTCTCTATTTCTTTGCTTTTTCATTCCTGTAAGTCTCTCTCCCTCTTTCGATTTAGGGGTAGATTACTGGAACTCTGCCCTTACAGTCTTTATTCTGAGTCCTTTTACCCAATTAAAAGCATTTCCTAGATGCTTCATTTTGATTCTTGCCTGTAGGAAGTTTATTTGGTTGAAAGGTTTTACTGGGCATTTCTTCCTCAAAGCCTTTTTCAATCTATCTTTTGTTTTTGGAGGCTAGAAAGAGTTTTTTTTTTTTTTTTTTTTTTAAGGCTCTGAGTTTCTGGACTCTTCATTCTCTTTCATTTTGTTTGTAAACTTGCCAGAGATGGCCAGGATAATGGTCAATTATATGCTTTATGAAAATGATTATTTATTAAGCATCAATAGGATTTTAAGCATGGGGTTAAAATAGAATTTGTTCAGGGAGTCTATGAAACTACCTGGGGATATAATTCTGAATCTCTTACTGATGTCATTAATTTCTTTGGTTTTGTTTTCCCATTCAGAAAATGGAGCTAAAGATAGTCCTGTCATTTAACACCAAGGACCCTGTAAGGATAACATATCTCCCACTTAAATCATGGTTCATATCGCATGACTAGAAAGTAGAACATATGGTGCGTGACAAGAGTCATTAGCCATTTGGGGAAGAACATAAAAGATCATGACAGCAATTTATAATTTGGTTCATCTCTGTAGTAAATTAGTTAAGAATTTTGCTGTAATTTGAGGGCAAGGGGGGGTGGAAGAAAAGGAAGATTTGGTCCTTTTTCCGTCATCCCCTTTTAGGGTCCCTCTCTGATTCCCCTTCAGGAAGTGGAATAGAAAAAAAAACCTGCATTCGTCAGTAACTCTGGGGTAACCACAACTAAGACAGTAAGGAGGTCAGTTGAAATAAGGACAGTGATTGCTATAAAACCAACAGGTACTGTCATTGACACAGCACAGGCGTATACAGGGTGACGCACACACACAGGAAGAATTTACTACACAAAGCAGACAACCAGAGCAAAATGACAATGACCATTCTGCGCAACACGGCCATGGTGAGTAAAAATAATTCCTGTTTCGTAGCCGTCATCCCTAGGATTTCAGGAGAGCAGATTTCTAAGGAATTAGGCCTGATTGGCGTCTTTACTGGGAATATTTCTTAAGGACAGACTGACTTTAATTTTGACCCCTGTCTGGTGGAGAAAAAGAACAAATAACTAGAAGTTATAATGGAGTGCAAAACATAGCTCCTCATATGGTGGCTTTTGCATAGGTGGTTGATAGCTTGCTGCACTCTGGTGTCACAGACAGCTGGACATGATCTCCCCTGTGGCCACCATTACAGAGTTAGATCAGTCTAAAACTCCTATCTCATCATGGGGACTTCCAGCCTTTTAGATAGTACACATGTATTTTCACCAAGGAAAGTGGGTCCTCAAAAGCTTTAATGATTCCCTTAAGACTACAAGTCGACAAAGAGTGCCCAGGGTGAAGGAAGTGAAACCACTCAGTATTGAACTTTGGATAGCTCCCAGGGGAGGGAAATTTGCTAGGTCTCAGATAGTTGATTATTTTTGCATTGTCTCATTCCTCATGGAGGAGAGAGAGATGTTACTATGATGGAAATCTACCTCTCCTGGGTCTAGAATCTTGCCTGGCATTAGTCAGGTAAAGCCTGGGAAGAATACAATGTAGAGGAGCTTGAAAACAGGGCTTGGGAAATTATACGCCATATTATTGGCTTAAATAAGCCCTCTTTTTTTTTCTCCATTTACAAGTCATGTAACTTAAAAGAGCTTGGATTTCATAAAAGGTCATGCATATGGTGATGATAATACTATATTTATGTATTTTTTTAGAGAACACCAGAAATGCAGCAAAGTGCAGTAGTTAGGGAGTATAAGCTTTGGAGTCAGACAGACCTGGCTTCACTACTTACTAAATGTGGGATTTGGGGTAAATTACTTAGCTGCTCTGTGCATAATTATTCCCTTAACTGTATAGGGGAATAATAGTGGCATTTCCCTCACAGGTTTTCTGGGGGGATTAATTGATATCATTGAGAATGACTAAATCTGTCCTCTGAAATGGCTTAGTTTTTAGTTAAATTGGTCATTTTAATATGTTAGCCAATAAGGATAGAGAAAGCATTCAATGTGTTAAATATTAATATTAGTAATATTATTATTTTTACCTCTGAAACTCTTGTCAGCCCAGGGAAGTAGATTGGGACTACTTTCTCCAAAATACAGATGAAAAACAGCTCAATTAAGCCAAGTGATTTAACATCACTGAGTACTGAACACGTAAGAACTGGGATATGAATCTAGGTTTACCAACCTCAAGTACAGTATGGTTCTCCTTGAGTGGTTCAGAGGCAGGCTTTCGGAATTTGAAGCCATTGTGTCTAAACAAATCTGTCGGATAGCTTTGTGCTCTAAAGCCATTTCTATTTCTGGTTTGTTTGAAGTAATCTGTTGGGCCATCTGCTAGAAACATGGTGGTGCGAGGGGCATTAGAATAGGATCAGAAACTGGGAGGTACAGGCAGGTAAGACACATTTGGTAAGCAGTTGAGACAAATTCTTGTGGGCCTAGGAACTGGCCAGGCTCTGGAGCACATTCCTACCCAGGGGTGAGCACACGTCACAGAGAAGTTCAGGAGACAAATACTCAGATGGTCTCAGGTGAGCTTGCAGTAGAGTTGGGCTGTCGATGTCCTGACAGTGCCCACCTTCACTGATGTGTTCTCCTGCCTCTGTTTCCTGTTGTACAGAGTAGGAGTGATATCTATTTATCTGCCTCAGAGGTGGCCTATAAGAATTCAAATCTATAAGATGCTCTGAACCTCTCAGAGAAGAAGTGCTGTGTATGTCATTCTTAAGAATCAGCAAGAGCCATATCAAAGCCTCTGGCACATAACCACTAAAATCTACAGTTTCAGATCAAAAGCTTTGTGGAGCAAACTAGAGTGATTTGCTGGCATCATCTGATTTCCTGATAAAGAGCTCTGTGACCTCCAATGCTCATGCAATTTTGACACAGCTACCACATTGCTTACAATGCTTGGCTCCTCCTGTGGGACAAAGCTAAGATTAAACACCACGAGTGGCTATATATTGATAATAATAACGGACTTCAATAGCAACAGTACTGACTACTGACATCTAGGTTTGAGTCCCCAGACTGGCACCGACAGGCTGATGAACCCACCCACGTTGTTTTGTTACTTTCCAGGCATGACTCTTTCACCAGCCTCATTGGGATAATTCGTACTAGCTCTGCCTACCTTGTGAGGGAGTTGTGAGAATCCAGTATTCAAAGAGATGTGAAGGTGTGTTCTAACATACTCTAAGAATATAAGCAAATATAAGGATTTGTTAGAAGCATGGAAATGATTACTGAATCATAGAACCCAAAAATACAGTGACTTTAAAGCTTTGATAATGAAAACTAGAAGTGACTCAGTGAATTTGATACCAAAGAGGAAAGAGGAAACACACAGGAGGAATTTCCTTAAGAAACCAAAGGAAGTGATTCGTAGGCTTGGGAAGCTAAGAACCCTCCGGTCTAAGTAGGCATCTTTCACCTTTTTCGGACTTATTTCACAGCACTTTGTCTAGACAGAAGATGCATGAGGGCAAATTCCACATCTTTCCTGGCCACTGTGCATCATCAGACAAGGTCGACCTACTAGCTGCCTGTGTTGAATCCTTACCACGTGCTGGCAGTGCTTTTCCTGCCTTATGTGGATCATATTATTTAATCTTTACATTTTCTGGCAGAAGAAATTGAATCACAGCTGGTCAGAGTCCTGAAACTGAGTTATGGACTCAGGACATTTGACTCTTAGAGCATGTGTCCCGAGTCACCACATAGTCAAGACAGAGTTGAATGAATGAATGATTGTAGTAGATGAAAGTAGACAAGTGCTGATTATTTGAAGGCAAATCAGCCTACTTCGGGCTTATCAGAGTCAGTCTTGCTTTGACTTCTATTTAGTATCCGCCAACTTAATACAGGAAATTGACACCTTGACCTTTCTGCATACTCTTGTCATTTCTTGCCTCCAGCATCTGCAAAATATAAAAAGGAGGTCCTTTAAGCAGACATGTCTAATCACCCCCCGTACCTTAGCCTGTGGAAGGTGTGAGCCTGAACAACACTGAACCCAGAGAATGAAAGCAACTCAGCTTCAGCTCTTGTTCTACATTATGTTGAGAGTTGGTGATGGGCCTTGTCCATCCCCAGTAAGTTTCGGTGGTGATGGTGGGGTGAGCAGCATGTGGTTGCGACAAAGGGAAAATGGAGAGATTTTTAGCTCTTCTTTTAGGGAGGTCTGCACAGAGCACTTTCTTTGTGCATTCCTGTAACACCAGATAGACTGATTATTTCAGTGTAAGTATAAAGAATATATGTTCCAGAGCTAAAGACAAATAGTTTTCATATTCTCTGTTGTTGTGCATCATTAGTGGCCCTGCTTCTTTCAGTGAACATGGATAATTGGAACTTTGCTGTAGTTGGTTTTACACAGTGTTTTTCTTAATGCTTTGAATTTAACTGTATTGTTTTGTTCATTCATTCACTCACCTGCTCTTCCATTCATCCAGAAAGTATTTGTAGAAATACTATTCTGTGGTACGTTCTCCTGCAGGAACTTATAATCCAATAGGTGTCTGACCTGAACAAAAATAATACATTTCAGACAGTAAAGACATAGCACTTGAATGCTATGGCTTCAGTGCTAGATGGCAAGTGCTTTATGATTTAAGGAAAATGAACATATTTCTAATTGAATGACTTTAGAGACAGTTCCTGGAGAAGACCACCTCTGGGTGGGACCTTGATGGAAGGGTAGGCTTCCATGAAGGTAGAGGTGAGGTAGTGTATTCTAGGTGGAGGGATGGCTGGGAGGAAGGATTTTGTGGAGAATTCATGAAATATGAGGTTGGAAATAAAAACAAGAATTATCATTTATTAATCTTTTTTATTAGATAAATTTATGGACGCTTTACAAGAGAATATTACATTTAATCTTGAGAATATTATTATAAAGCAAGTATTATAATCCAGCTGGAAAGAAGAGAAACCAGAGGTTCAGTGATGAGGCCACATCAAATTTAAATCCAGTCCCAGATCCTGATACCTTTCTGTCCCACTGTTGAGGAGCTCTCAGACTGTGGGAGGCTCAATCACCAAGCTAATGAGTTTACTACACGTTTTGGCACCCTGATATCTTCATGTGTGACTGTTCCCATTTCCAGGTGAGGACCTGAGGTTCAGAATGAAGCCGTGGTCCCATAAAACACTGGGGATCCTGAGTTCAGCTAGAGCCTGGGTTGCCTCTTGCCAGCAAATGACATCAGAGTCCCTAACCAACTCAACCTTCTCTATTTTCCAGGTCAAGTCCCTGCTCCTGGTGGTTTTGGGGCTCACCTTCCTGAGGGAGGTGGCAGCTCGAAAAAACCCAAAAGCAGGGGATGCTGCCCTGTGCCCTCCTCTGGAGGGTAACAGTGTGAGGGTTGACATCCGCATCCTCAGGCAAAACCAGGGTATTTCCATCTCAAATGATTTCCAGAACCGCTCCAGCTCCCCCTGGGATTACAAGTAAGTGTAAATGAGAATGATCTTCACATTCTTTTGAAAAATATGTTTATTTATTCTAATGTAAAAAATTTAGAAAATATAGAAAAAAAAAAGCCCTAATATTTACTCTTAAAAACAGAAATCCCAACTTTGCCCGGGAGCTCACATTTTTTCCTGCTGTTTTGGGCTAGGTTCTCCTGTGTGGTCAGAGATCCTGCTATTTTGCTTCCAACTTCTCATTGATTCTCTGCCTTTTCCCGCTTCATGAAGCCCTAGGTTGGAATTGACAAGCTTTCTGTGTTGGAAGAGAGGGCCCTTTAAAGCAGCCCATATAATGATCTCTGCATGGGGTTAAGTGGGAACCAGAAAAGTCAGTGTGGAGTGATCCACTCAGATTAGACATCAGTCTTCAAGGAATGAGGAGGAAGACAGAGTAGACAAGAAAGGCCAGTTTGGGAAAGGGGATGCAAGATGGGGATGGGATGTTCAGGGTACTGTCCTGTGATATTGTCTGATGGGTGGGATCTTGGAATACTAAGTACTCATCTATATGCTCCAGATTGAAGCCTGAGAACAGATTCCAGGGACAATTAGAAGTGCTTCTGGGGCTCCTGCATGGCTTCCTAGAGGAAGGGAGTATGTATGGTGGCATGCTGGCTGGCATGATTTTGCTGCCTTTGTACCTCCTGGCAGAGGGGGCTTTGAAGGGAGAAACTGAGGGAATGTGCTGGATTCACAGACTGCTGGGGCTTTGGCTTTCCTTTCCAAGTGGCAGGCTTTGTAGATTTTATCTTAGGAGACCTACTAGTGATATTCCATATATCTAGGCAAAGGATGAATAATAATTATAATAATAACAACAGTGTAAGGAAAAATAAAAGAGCTGACATTTATTGTGTAAGGAAAAATAAAAGAGCTGACATTTATTGAATGCCAACATGTAGCCTTTCGTGTGCATTTGTATCACGGAATATCCTTAGAAGTCCGATGAGAGAGCCCTGTGAGAATCCCCAGTTTAGAGTGGAGGAAACAGGCTTAGGCAGTTAAGCACCTGCCTGGAGGGCCATGGATGAATCCAGGCCATCTGGCTGCAGCCCTGGGTTGCTCGGAAACGCCTCCCTGCAGGTGAGTGCCCAGTGGCGCGGGGCGCTCACATTTGTCCATCTCCCTCTCCCTTGTCTCACCATCTGCTTTTGTCCGCTCCCCCTGCAGCATCACCCGGGACCCCCACCGGTTCCCTTCGGAGATTGCGGAGGCCCAGTGCAGGTACTCCGGCTGCATCAATGCCGAGGGGCAGGAAGACAGCTCCATGAATTCGGTTCCCATCCAGCAGGAGTTCCTGGTCCTGCGGAGGGAACCCCAGGGCTGCACTCGCTCCTTCCGGCTGGAGAAAGTGCTGGTGACGGTGGGCTGCACCTGTGTCACCCCCATCGTGCGCTATGTGCGTGCCTGAATGTCTGCTTGGCTGAAGAAGCCCTGAAATACCACTCCCAGCGCTCTGCAGCAAGTCCTCTGTGGTCCTGATTCTCTCCACTTCATTGGCCTCTTGATAAGACCTGGGCGGAATTCTCAGAGCTCTGTATTAGAGTGTCAACTTTCTGGGGGCGCTTCCAGATCATAGAGCTGTTCCACTGTCCCAAACCCTTGAAAATGGACGGAGGAGAAGGAAGGCGCGCATAGCCCTGCCGTCGCTGTGATTTGGTGCCATTCCCGGGAAATTCTGTTGCAAATTCTGTTCCCTGTGGATGAAGATGCAGAAAATGTAACCACAGTATGAGTGTGTGGGAGGGGGTGAAGGGTGGGGTGGGAGGGATGGGGTAAGGCTCTAGTACACATCCTTATTAAGATTCACTCAATAGAGAGGTTGGCCTGATGCTCCTATTTTTAAGGAAACTGTCCATCTCTTTATGACGTATTGTTATATAAAATTTTAGGAGAAAAATTAATATATCAAGTATTAATATAATAAAGTATTAATGATTGAAAAATACTTCAGGTGTTTGTTTCCAGTCTTGGCTTGTATTCACAGAGCTTGGAGCCCTCAAGATTGTGAAATTCTAAATACTTGTCATTTGTTTTTCATATTTTCTCATAAGCTCCTCATTAGAGGACTACTGTTAGCATTATTTTATTATTATTATTATCATCATTACTGTGTGTGTGTGTGTGTGTGTGTGTGTGTGTGTGTGTATGTGTATGATCTTGGGGACTTGTTTCCTCAGCTTTATTGAGATAAATTGGCAAATAATATTATGTAAGTTCATAGCGTACAGCATGATGACTGTCTTTCTATATATAGTGAAATGATCACCACAATAAGGTAGTTAACACTTGCATCACATTTTTATCTGTGTGTGTGTGTGTGTGTGTGTGTGTGTAGTGAGAACATTTAAGATCTACTCTCAGCAAATTTCAAGTATACAATACAGTATTGGTAACTATAGTCACCGTGCTATACATTAAATCCCCAGGACTTACTCATCTTACAAATAACTTTGTACCCTTTGATCAACATCTCCCCATTTCTCCACCCCCACCCCCCAGCTTCTGGCAACTACTGTTCTCTCTGTTTCTATGAGATAGAGAGTTATTTTATTATTAATGGTACTTGGGGGTTACATGGAGAATTAAGGAAAATGGTGTCGACAGAACTCAGTTTCTCTGGTAACTCTTCCTTGCTCCATGGCCCTGGCTACATTATATTACAAAGTGAACATTTACTGACCACTGTGCTTGTCACCAGAGATACAGAGACAAGTAAGAAATGCATATGGAAGGACCACAGTGTTGGGACTGGCCATCCATGAGCCCCTGGTCACTGGGGCCATGTAATCCCTTTGCATTGGCCTTGTTCTGACTCCTGGGACTTTTAGGGTTACTGGTTGTGTTTTATCAATATGTTATGCTTCTTGGGGGCTCAGGAGTTTCCAGATTCTGGTCTTCACGCCACTCCCTTGTTTCTATATGGCACAGCACATTTTCTCCTTAATGCTACCACAGGCTTAGTATACCTCTGCATTGCCGCTGCTTTCTAGGTCCGAGAGAGGAAGTGGAGCATAAGTTCTCACTCCCACCTGAAACTTGGCTTGAGGATAGGCAGGTGGCAGAAGCCTGACACCCATTTTTAACTCTAGTGTGGGCAACTTTTTTCTAGCCTAGGTGGGAGTGGGAATGGAATAGCTGGATAGGCCGGCTCTTCATCTCTTGGCTGCAGAATCTTTTGTTTATGGTATAAATATTGATATTTAAATATTCAGGCTCTTGAAATCTAGAAAACATTTTCTGTCGTAGCTATCAGCTTCGTAAGTTTGCTATGAATCTCACAAGTCCATTTTGGTGCTCAGATTTGTACAATGAATCCTTTGTGTTGATGTTGGCAATAATCACTCTCTCCTGTGGTAGGTTCATATTGTTAGAGCTGGATGGGCCCCTGCAGATCACCTGGTCAACCTTTCGCATTGGCAGATGAGGCCCAGAGGAATTAGGTGACTTGCTCAAGGTTGCGTGAAGTAGTTAGTGGCAGAAAGGGGCTCAGTGACTCCAAGTTCATAATTTTTTCTGTTGGGTTTGCAGCACTCGATAATGTTTCCAGCAAATACCCGTATCAGTCATTTCTCTGTGCAGCCTGGGAGCAGGTACAGAAGTACCTGCACCTCGCACACCTCCGACTACATGGTGCCCCCTGGGGCCTGGGGCCTGAGTTACAGCTTCCTCTGAGGGCTGGCTGTCATTCAGGAAATTGCACACTGTCTCTGGCTCACAAGGTGGCACACTGCGCCCATGGGTCAATGGCTCCCTTAGCGGGGAGTCTGTCTTTGGCAGCCACTGGAGACACTGCTGAGGCGGAATGAGCAGCCTGTGTTCTTCAGCGCTGAGCCTGGCTTCCTGGGACTCAGAGGTCCTTTGTTTTGAATGCAGGAGAAACGGCCTACGTTGAGCAGTCCAGATTTTCGAATACTGCATTGCCATCATAATGTGTAGAGAGACGGACTTCTCTTTCCACATGGAACTTGAAGCATATAGTCTTTACTTTTGATACCCAGTTCTTATATATGACAGCTTGGCTGAGGGGAAATACATATTCTCTCTCCGTCTATCCTTCCCTCTCCTTCTCCCCCTCCCCCCACTACTCCCACATCCAGATAAAAATCATCTGTGTTTGTAATGCTCCACGGGAGAAATTTCACTTGTAATTTACAGTGAGGAAAATGGTTACAAAATTAGTTTTCCTTTAATTTTCTTTTTTTTTTTTCCTTTTCTAATAGAAGAAGTGGTAGAAAAAATGTATTTAGTACTTAGCTTTTGGCTTCAAATCCTGGTTCTACCATTTTCTGGTTATATGAATTTAGGCAATTTAGTCCTTCTGAGACTCAGCTTCTTCATATGTTAAATAGGGAATGATATCTATTTTAAAGAGTAGAGTGTAATCGAAATAAAAAAACATAAAAGACTTAGTACAGTACCCAGGAAATGATAGGTACTTAGTACCTGGTTGTCCTTATCCCAGGAAGTACAGAACTTACGTTTCCTGTTTGCTTGGCCCCGGGAAACTCACAACCAACTTTTCTGCTTAAATACCACAGTTTTATTATTTCCTCATGGTTATTAAGTTTACAGTCTCCATTTAATCTCTATATACACACATAGGTAATTCAAGGTGGTTTAAACAAAAGATCTATACATTGTTAATATTATTATATAGATCTTTTGTTTAATCCATTTTAAATTGATTTGACAGGAATAGAGGAAGCTATAGATTTAAGACATTAAAAAAAATTCCCCTGGGTCCCCAAATGTTCATTGTAGTCTACTCCACTGATATAAATTGGAAAAAAAGCATTTTTTGGGGGTCCAATAAGCCCCAGGAGTTGTACACGTTCAGCTGGACTTCCCTCAGGGTACAAAAGAACACACATTTTCTCCAACACTGAGATGTTCTTTTCAAGAGAATCGCTGAAAAAGTGGTAGCTTCTGAAACTCGTTTGTACCTAAGTGTCATAAAAGACTAGAAAAACCCAATCCTTCCTCCTTACAGAGTACCCAAGAAAAGAGAATTCCTTCAGTTAGTGAGAGAAATCAGAAGTGGGGTGTTGGCCCGATGGTAGTGAGGAGAAACATTTATGTATGGAAGATTTTCCTTCATTTGTTTCTTATGTTTGTGAATAGGGCAATCAGGGAGGTTGCACTTACCAAGTCATAACTCTGCATCTTCTTATGTTCGCCGTAGGATTAAATTGCATTTGCAACAGAACCTTAGTTTTCTTTTTTTTAAAAAAGATTTAGAGGGAGGGCGTGCACACATGTGCGAGCAGGGGGAGGGGCAGAAGGAGAGGGGGAAGAGAATCTCAAGCAGACTCCCTGCTGAGCATGGAGCCTGATGTAAGGCTTGATTTCATGACCCTGAAATCATGACCTGAGCTGAAACTAAGAGTTGGATGCTCAACCGACTGAGCCACTGAGGCGCCCTGACAGAACCTTCCTTTTCATGTCTGGAGTACTAATGTGGTCCTGGGGGCTAAACTCAGTAACAGTTCCACTGAGGGTTATTAAACATAATAGTAGCAGTTCATATATACTGAGTGTTGGCTATGTGTGTCAGACAATGTGCTATTTTATATGCATCTTAGTCTTCACATAGCATGAGTTTGGAAAGATTATTATCCCCATTTTACAGATGAGGCAACTGAGGAATTAATTACTTGCCCAAGGTCACAAGAGCTAGTAAATATTAGCCTCAAGGTTTAAACTTCCATCTCTTGGACTGAAGACCCCCTATTGCCTGGTCATCTCATCGGTCCATCTGTGTAAAGTTGGCTAAGTTACGTAATACGTACTTCTTCACTGGATTTTTTCTGTCAAAAATTAAGAATGATTACATTTCTTACATAGGTCACTGGAGGTGCTTAAGATTAACTCTTGATTTACGAAGAACATTGGAGATCCACTACTCACTGCCTTTCCAGAAACCCATATCTGTTTACTAGTACCAGATGCATGAACTTGGTCTTGTAATTTTATAATAGGGACTATGTGAAGTGTGTGCTTTAAAAACTGTGATGTACTGGGGTGCCTGGGTGGCTCAGTGGGTTAAACGTCAGACTCTTGATTTCTGACTCATGATCTCAGGCTTGTGAGATCCGCGCAGGGTATGGAGTCTGCTTAAGATTCCCTCTCTCCGAACAAAAAAGAAAGAGAAAAATGTGAAGAACGCTAAAGAGGTTGGATGCATGGGCAGGTGTGTGGGTGGATGGATGGATGGATAAATGGATGGATGGATGGTTGCATTGATGAATGGCTGGGTGGATTGATGAATGGGTGGGTGGATGGATGGATGGATGGATGGTTGGATGGATGGGTAGATGGATATCTGAATGGGTGGATAGGTAGGCAGATGAAGGGATGGTTACTTGTACTTATGCTGGAATTTCCCTATAGGAATATATTTCCCTTCCT